ATTTGACAACCTGCGAATTAAAAACAATATCGCGTATGATTTTTGGTTAATATTATAATAGGTTATGGAGTAATCATGGATTTCAACACCAGCCCTGACCTGCCATTCTCGACTCTGAAGGAAAGCATTGTATCATTTCAGGGGGTTACGTATCGCAATGAGAGGAAATTTAATAATTTAATCTCTTTTAGTCCAATAAACACGAAAGAAAGGCTTGGAATATTTGTATGAAATTACAGGAAGAAATTTTGCATTTGTTAGAAGAATTTCTAATTATAGCTCATGTTGGGTGCTCTTCTGTGTAAAACAGCATGTAGTTTAGTTAATATCATGTACATGCACATAAAATCGTGTCACTGTGATATTCTAGCTTTTTATTTGAGGAAATAAAAGAAATTTATGAGCATATCATTCGGAAAAATACAATGATAAGTTATGTAGCAAATTATGCAAAACTCAAAGTTACTTAATTTTATTTTCGATTTTCATGAGAATTGAAAACGTCACTTCCACTTACAATTTACTGTGTGCATTTGTCATGTTTATTTGTAATTGCTAATTTAAACAACATCGCAATTTTTTCTGAAATAAATTAAGCAACAATTAGTCTAGAATAACTTGATATAGGCCCGTATACATATAACGATTGCAATTACTTCAAAGTTGAGAGGGAGACGACGGCGTCTAAAAAATGTGTACCTTTCCATTAATATAGAATCATCCGTTCAAATTAAAAACAATTAAGTTGCAGTAGTGATATCCCCGATTCTTTAAATAACGAAACTATAATGGACTTCACAAGGGTAGAATTCAACATTAATTTATGTACATGTGCAATTACAATCACTATCAAAATTGGCAGAGTTATCGATAGGTCATCCTGCGTCACCTTTCAGTGTAACCGATGGACTCGTCCAGAGAAATCATCTGTACCTGAGCAAAATCGCAGCGCCTTTTATTCATTCGTCAAAGAATAGAATCAGACATTTTATCTTTTAATACTCGTACATGTTCAAGAAAACCTTTATATTTGTGTCTAGAAATATTCTTACGATTTTCGCAAATAACAAATTCTTGATTTTAAACTGAGTAAATCGATGACTAGCATCGTTTTAGATAACTCTGGGACTCGCGTAAAAATCAAAGAGCGGTAATGTTGACCTCCGGAATGTATATAGGTCAATGCATGCGCGATCGATTTGTAAACAGGTTGCACAACTGTAAACAAAGCAGTCAAGGTCCGAGGAAAATTCACGATGCATGAATAAAATGACAGTGAATTATTTTAAGCTTGATTATTTTTTTTTTATATAAATAATGCAACATTGAGTATCAATCGAATGAGAGATGATAAGTATTTTTCCTATCTCCCGTCTTGTAATTCAAACTAAATACAAGGAGAAATTTGTCTCTGAATAATCTGTATGACATCCAGCTAGAGAATACGTTAAAAACTTTATTTCAACAAAGTTTAACATTCAGTTTAGTTAAGTATATTATTCTTATCCAGTTTATTTCAGTTATACGTGTTATACGCGTACGCATAAAGAATTCTTCACTTGCCGTATAAAATTAATCAGTTACCTGTACATAAAGTTTGCTGCTCATTCAATAACACAAGATTCGAACAAAATAACGTTTTCATGAGATCAATAAGATGTTAAAGACCCATTTCAAATCGATAACCATATCGAAATATTTACCATTTTTGAGTTATAATGCAAAAACTTTCATGCTCCCTTGACCCCTAATTTTAGGGGCCAGCCCCTTTTTAATGATGTCAAATGATAGATCTTAAAATTATGCACAATATTTGTGAAATATGTCTTAACAAATTATTTTTAGTTTAAAAGATACACAAGGAAATATATGTAAAATTTGGCGCTTTTAGGCATTCTCATTTTTGACCCCTATCTAGCACCGTTTGGAGCGCAGAAATCGAAAAAGAAAAACCGATGTGCACAACTTCAATTCTTCTAGTATTTAAATGCAGTAGACATTCTGCTCCAGCTTTTGTCGTTTCTGAGCCTTTGTCTGGAAACGAACAGTACCAAATTTTCACTTAAAGGGAAATAACTCGAAAGCGGAAGGGAATTTTTGAAATGTATGAAAACATTTTAATTGAGTTTTGTAACGTCCAAAAACTCTGAAAATTTGAGCGAAATCCGTTCAGAAATGAGCGAGTTACGAGGTCTCAAAGTTGGCGTCTAGGAAAAAAAAAAGAATAATAGGGAATAATCTTAACCATCAGAATCAGTAGAAGGTCTTCCGCCTGAGCGGAAGACCTTAATTAAAAGAGGAGCATAGTCCACAGACTTAACCAGAAAGTAAAATTACATGCCTTTCTTATTTGCCACATTGTGTGCGGTTTTTTTTTAATTCATGCACTCCTTTGTAAAACTTGTAAGCCCTAATACTTATTAAATTAGTCAAGAGGGCAATATTTTCAACAATATTTTGGGGTTTTTATAATTAAAAAATATTACAGTATTATCTCATTGGACATGAATTTGATTATTACATAGTACGTAGTATCCCTGTATTCCTGAGCAGAAGATTTTTAGAGTTTACGCCTAACACGTCTTTGAATGTATGGACTCAGCTGTTGCATGTGCCTGTGGAATATATTAGACTGAACAAACTTAAATCTTAAATTATAATTGCAGCTGTACTTAAATTTATCATTCCTGTAAGAAGAACATTACAATATTATAGGTTAACCCATGTATCCTAATTTTGGTCTGCACAAAATTTTTAACAGTATTTTTTGGTGAATACTGGTTCAGTTTGATATGCTATAAAATGCTACAAACAAAGTTACTATTTGGTTGTAGCATTTAACTACTGTAATAGCTAGGTTAGAGATCAGTTGTAACAGGTTAGGGGCTGAGGTTTATTAACAGAATCTCTATAGACCTAATTACAACAAATTTTTATTTCAAAGTGGCATTTTTGACAATTGAGGTGGTCAATTTGGCCGGCAGCCGATTCTTAGGGAAAACACTGAAAACATGGCAGTAAATGACACAAAACTGATAAGAAATGAAAAGACAACAACAAGAACAACATGAAACCCCATTTAATTTAAGCCTGAATCTGACTACCGTAGCATGATCCGCACAACTAACTCGGCTAGCCACCTTCGCCAACATAACACTACTAGGCAATGCCAGTATGAACTCAAAAGCACGTGATCTTTGCATTTTTTGTTTTCATATATGAGGAGAAATAAACAAAACTGATTATGAATTTTATATTCTGATACATTGCATTATTACATTTTTACCCGTAAAATACTGTAATTTATTCATTGAATAAAAATCATATCCTGTCACAGTGTGAAAGGATATCAAAATGATATCCTGTCACAATGTGACAAATATCAGAAGTGCGGGAAAACTCTCGATTTCCCTTCCCATAACAAAGATTGTTGTAAAAAAAATCTTCCTTGACCTAATATTAGATAGATGGAAATAAATAAACCATTTTGACAGGGAATTAAACTGTCAAAATTACGAAAAATATGTTGCTAAATCCATGTTTACAATGTCTTCACCTCACTACCTATGACGTCTCAACCGCTCAACTATGACGTCATGTAGCCTATGACTGTATAACAAAAAGACAGAGGCAAAAGGAAAATCAAAGATTTTTTTTTAAAAATGTAATAAACAGAAAATTCAATGTTTTGTAGTTGAATATGGAATTTATTTCACTCATGAGACAGGATTTTTTAAAATATTTGCTTCACACTTATAAAAATATAAAAAATCCTGTCCCAATCGTGAAATAAATTCAATATTCAACAACAAAACATTGAATATCCTCTATATACAAAATTTACTATAATTGCAATATATGGCTAAACAATTTTTCAGTCGCGATACTCAGCACTAAATAAGATCTTTAGAATACTGTGTGCAAAGAAATTTTTGCGCCCGTTTTATTTTCGCCCCTTTAGCCCTAACCTCGAATGGGCAAATTTAACCAAAGGGTTGAATTTAAAGACGGGGCAAAATTGTTTGCAAGTGTGAAAAGCCGAAAATAAAGCGGGGCAAAAATAACCCTGTATACCATATATTTCTAGAGATCCCCTCTCGGTCTCTCAAGTGTTACAGAGGACATGTGACCACCAGGACCAGCCAAGACAAACTCTAGGTCAGACATAATCCCTCCTGGTTAGTCAATATAATCTCATTCTCCATTCAACAAACTCGTTAACCCTGACTTTAACACGTTTAATGTTGTAAAGGTGTTAATGTTCAGATTAGGTTCGGACAGACCACTTCTTACCATTATACCTTTGGGAGATTTAACACTAATTTTTAGGCTTAAAATAGGATAAGAAAAAAAATTATCTCATTAAAAAGTAAAACCATCTGAGGGGTACCGGATTAAGATCATTGTTCTCATTAGAATCATGTGTATGTTAACCTTGATACAGCTGTTTTAAGAAAACTTTAAGAATTCCTTTTTCATGGAAAAATCCAGCTACAGAGATTTTTTAGCACATTTCAGAGGAACTAAAGTTCAAATTTCTAAACCTGTCTGTCAATCGCTATCAACAAGTAAACTGCATTTTCTTTAAGAACATTTACATTTCCAAAGATGCCATAAAACCAAAATTACCAAATTACCAACTTTACTCACTGAGGAATAGCTAATGTTTTCTAAAGTTCTCTATACAAAATATTAAATGACAATGTATCAGACAGGGGAGAGAAGTTTGCTGGGGTAGGGATGTCACAATGTCATAAACTTCATCACAGGGTATAATACTGTATACAGGGAAATTTTTACCCCATTTTATATTCAGCCCTTTCATGTGGGCCAAATTAAAACAGTGTGAATTCAAATAAAACTGTGTTATTTCTTCCACAGAACTGTTTTTGGGCAAATTTAAAATGGGGCAATATTTCTTGCAAATGTAAAAGGGCAAAAATAAGACAGGGCGAAAATAGCCCTGTACACAGGATTCTAACACTGATTCCAACACTCACCATCGCGACTCTCCACGATCTCTAACTGACTAAGATCCTCCACACTCTCTACTCTACTCGCCCATCGGCCTCGGGGAAGTGGTTTGCTGTCTGGTTTTTGTTTTGTGTTACTGTTCTCTCCCATCTGTAATTAAAACAGCCAGTTCCTATAGGTAACATTGCTCTGATTTCTACCATTTCATTGATAAAAGTCAATTTAAGTCATGCTTGAAATCATATAAACAAAGGTCAAATGTCTCTGTCTTATTGGCTTACCCCTTCTAAGTTTATCATATACAATCTTTATTAATTTGTTCCACTTTAAAGACTGTTGGCCATATTTTTTTAGCTTAAATAATTCACCTCTCTAAAGCCTGTCACAGATAACCTTTTTTACCTTGGCCCAGTTTTCCTTTTCTCACTCATCCTTTGTCCATTCTCGTACACTGACAACTTAACCAAGTTTAACTCAGTCAGTCTTTGTCATTTTCTCATACACTCACCTTGACCACAATCGACCCAGTTAGCCTTCTCATTAAGCCTTGGTCTATTCAATATATTCATTTCACCTTGACCTATTTAGGCTACTTTTATTTTTATACACTCATCTTGACCACAATTGACCCAGTTAGCCTACTCATTAAGCCTTGGTCTATTTAATATATTCATTTCACCTTGACCCAATTAGCCTACTTTATTTGTATACAATCACTTTACCACAATTGACCCAGTTAGCCTACTCAAAACATTAAGCCTTTGTCTATTTATATCCCCTCTCACCCTGGCCCAGTTAGCCTTGAACTCATTTAGTCTTCATCTATTTTTATCCACTGACCTTGACCTTGGCCCAGTTAGGCAGTGGTCCCACGCTGTACCTGAAGTCGGGCTGTTCCTCCTCCCTCTGTTTCTGTAATTCCTCCAGAATCTTTGTGGGCGTCTTAATCACCTGCTCGTTAGGGAACAAAGGGGCTCTTCCTAGAATCTCATCATAATTCTCTCGCTTCCTGTAAAATGATAGACATATCTGTTATGCTATATATAAAATGTAAAAGATCTTATCGTGCAAATTGAGCCAGTATTGAATTCATGCTAAAGAAGAAAAGTAGAGAATATAAAGATGTCAAATTGTTAAAATGTTAAAGAAAACTTTAAGTTTGATTCTTGTTTTAGAGTTTATAAATCCACACAAAGAAAAGCTACAGATGATTTTAGCAGATAATGACTGCAAAATATTTACAATTCAATAATTTTGGGTTCAGTCCTAAAACTACCTTATTCATAATTACATAGAAATGAGATAGAACACACCCAGCAAATTAGTACAAAGATTTAGGTCAAGATCAACATAGTGCATTCTCGACACACAAAATTAGCCAATGTTAATTATGACAGGTTAACCTAAACTATTCAGAATGGTGGTCAAGAACTTCAGCAGTACTATCAAGTTTTGAAAATTGCATTCCAGCCAAAAAAAAAAAATCTCAAAGTTTTCATTGATTAATAACACAAAATCTTCAATCTCAGTATCCTTACTAACCAACACCACCACCGACCTGTTAATTTCCCCGTTGATGGCCTCAAACGGAAGTCTCCCCATCTCCTCCAGGCGGCCTCGCATGGACTCGGTCAGCTCGGGGGGCAGTCTCCAGACAAAGATACAGCCGTCGCTGGACACCGACACTAGACGCTTCAGGTCGGGCATGAACTTGACCCCCGTGGCCAGCTCCGAGTGACCAAACATGGTGGCCAGCGGGTCCCCAGTCTTAAAGTCCAGCAGACACAGGCTCTTGTCGGTACAGCTGGTGACCGCGTACTGACCGGACGGGTCTAACTGCAGCTTTAACAGCACCCCGTTGTCCCCCACCGCCCCTTTGTAACACTGCTTTTGTTTGGCCGTCTTGATGTTGTAGATCCTGTATAAAATACGTACAGTTTACACATATCAGAGATCTTGTTTTGTCTCAGCTCTGTCAAACTTGCAAATTCAGAATGGAATGATACGAAGAATTCAGATTAACAAAGACTGTATGATAATCTGATTGAGTAAAGGTAATGATATTTAAGGTAGGGACTTCAATTAAGTGGATCATACACTAGGAAAAGTGGATCACACGATATTAAGGTTATTTTCTTTTCATTTGAAAATTGTGCAAAAAACATGTAAAAATTATAACTTTTCATGCAAATATCATTTGAATTGGTTCCTGATATTGATACAATTTATATTTTTAGAATTTGCGGGTGAAGTTTTCTTTGCACAATATTTATGCCATATATGCTCTTGATAACAAAATTCATTTGAAAGTAATGCCTTCTGCACATAAAGTTTTGACATAAAGTCACACGTCTTGTTTTTTGTCTCTTCCTCATGCCCAGAGTTCACATAAAACTCATGTGAATTTGATACAAAATTGATGCAAGTCACTTTTGCCTGTGTATGGTAGACGTGCTGGAGTTACTTCCCTTGGCTTTATTATTTTTAGCCATAATACCTGATGTTTCTGTCTTGGCAAGCAGTTGCCATGAATCTCTCAGAAGGTTCAATGTCCATATCATATAAACTGTTGTTACCGACTACATGTTGACTGGCAAGAACAAACTGGAATGTTGGAGTCTGCAAAAAAAAAAAAAAATTAGAAGAATGAAAATGGTCATTTTCTGGATCTTTATCATCTCAAAACTCCATACAATGTACTGGTAATATGTTAACAAATAGTAAAAGTAAAAGGTGGACAAATTTAATGTGTAACTTTTAGCACATAGAGGGCTTTCATGTTGGGCACCTTAAAAAAATACAACATTACCCCCACAATATACACATTCTAAATTAACCACTGAATGTATGTTTTTGCTATAGCCATATTTTTTCATGAATTCACTTATCACACTCTCTATTGTAAGTACATCAAATAATATTCACTAAGCTACAGGGGATCTGTACGCATTGTTAAGTATTTACCTTTTCAGCTAAGCTGAGCCAAGCATTGTAAAGTACTTACAGTTTGAGCCAAGCATTTTAAAGTACTTACTGTTTGAGCGTTACGGAAGAGAACAGATTTATCGGCACTGGAACTGAGCATCTTTATTTGTTCGTCGTTCTCCGTGAACTTAATGGCAGTAACAGAGCTGGAATGGTCGTCAAGAGTCTGAAGTAAACCGTATCCCTGCTCTACGTCAAAGACGTGAATTAAACGATCCCTACTGGCCGACGCCAACAGCTGGGGACCTGAGGACAAAAATAAAGTTAACGGAATTAAACAATCCGTACTGGCCAAAGCCAATAGCATGGAACCTGCGGACAAACGGTCCCTACTGGCCGAAGCCAATAGCTTCCGACTTGAGAAGAGATTCAAACAACGTTATCAAAATCACAAGGCCCCTACTGGCAGAGGCCAACAGCTGTGGACCTTAGGACCAGAAAACAAGGTTATCTGAATCAGCAGTATAATCAGATACAAATCACCTTCAATTATTGTCATAAATTGGTTCCTTCTCATAAAGTAAGTTTTAAGGAAAGGCCTGAGAAGTAACCAAAACCATGACACCTAGAGAAAGTAAACTGTAATTTCTTTTCTCCAATTGTCTAAATTGATTTCTTGAATAGGAAGTCAGTTTTTTATAAAAAGCAAAATCTTACAAACTTTAACTTGAATTACTTTTGCTTTCCAATAAGTCTATCCGTACCTGTTTTAAGATTTGAGTATTGAACACATAAAATTTCCTGGTCGTGGGCCTCTATTTTCATCAGCTCCTGCATGTTCATCAAATCATGAACCCTAAAAAATATATATTACACACTAGCTCTCACAAAAGAATAATACAGGCCTAACAACCTATTTTACTTTCTCTATTTTGATGATGAAAGATGTAGGACAAATGAATATATCAAATGGATTTTTTTGGCAGTTCATTGTTATGTACCAAAGGGATAGTATTGCTTTAAATTTTCTATTCTGAAATTTTAAATCCTGGTAAAATTTGGCTGAAAATATGACATATAAAGTTAACTCCCTTGAAATCTGAGTAACTTGAGTGTGACATGCCTAACTAATTTTGCTTTTAATGAGTGATAACGTATGATTTTAATCAAAACCAAAATAAACATTTTGTATGTTCAATGACGACTGAAATAAGCCTAAGCAATAACCTGTATCATTTTGAGCCATAGCAATGTTCTGGAATATTTTGACCCTTAGCAATGTTCTGGAATATTTTGAACCATAGCAATGTTCTGGAATATTTTGACCCATAGCAATGTTCTGGAATATTTTGACCCATAGCAATGATCTGGAATATTTTGACCCTTGGCAATGATCTGGAATATTTTGACCCTTGGCAATGATATGGAATATTTTGACCCTTGGCAATGATATGGAATACTTTGAACCTTAGCAATGATCTGGATTATTTTGAACCTTAGAATTAATCTGGATTATTTTGAACCCTAGCAATGATCTGGATTATTTTGAGATTTAGCAATGATCTGGATCACTTTACCTCACGTTCCCGATTCTGTCACCAGAGGCCAGATGACGTCCATTTGGACTTATCCCAATCGATCGTATTCCATTTTTTCCATCATAATTTGTGTCTGTTTTATCTGTCCCTCCAGCTGTTTTATAGAACACAAGCATTAGAAAATATACATAAAGAAGAACTCCAAAGCTCTTAAAACATTAGGATTTACAGAGGACCTTCAGATATCCGGACCCAGATATCCGGATGCTTCAGTATCAGGACGATTTTTCATTCGGGTGGAATTTTAAATGTTATATTGTTTTGCTTAACTGTTGATTCAGGTATCCAGACGATTCACATATCTGGACAAATTGACAACCAAAGCGTCTGGATAAATGAGGCTCCACTGTATATAATTATGTACACAAACTTTAAACCACAGCGCTTATTCTTTTAGTTTTACTCTCTGGATACAAACCTGGATTGTAATTAACATCTTTTAGGAAGGTTAAGGTTGGATCCACATAAACCACCTTCAGTAATTCCTGCATAATAAAAGATAATTTATCAATAATCCAAAAATAATAAGAAAACAATCATTAAAGCAATATGAGCTGCATTTTTGAGAATTTTATTTTGCTGGTAAAATGTGTTTTTTTGATTAATTTGTATGTAATCTAAACCCTTGTGATGAATTAAATCAAAATAAAAATGTTTCAGAAGAAATATTTCTGTACAACTGAATATACTGTATTATATTATATAAGAAATCATTATTGTACAGGATGACAAGAATTCAATTTTGCTTCAATCAAAGTGTATTGAAAGTTCTTTCATAGCAAATAAACAGAAGTTTATAAATATTCTATTTTTCTGTCACTGAAAAAGTTAATAACAAATTTGCAAAAAAAATTTCCAATGTCAAAAATGCAGCTCATATTGCTTTAAATAAATTAATCACATTAAAAATAAACATTGGGTTTTCCCAATCTCTGATAATAAATCCACTTACATTAGAGTAGACGTTCCGTTTACTACACTCAGTTTCCACCATGTGTGGATCCAGATTCCAGATCCTAATGGTGTCGTCCGAGGAACACGTCATAAAAGAAGCAGAGGGCAGCACGGGTCGTACGTCTTCTGTCGTCGCAGGGTTCACCTTCAAAAGGAATAACGTGAATGTTGTGTAAATTCTTTAACCAAAGTTTGCCTTTCAATATATTGAACACAATAATGACATCAGTGTCATTCAGACAAGTAACACTGAGGGCAGACAGCTACACAGCTAGACAGACACACAGCTAGACAGACACACAGCTAGACAGACACACAGCTAGACAGACACACAGATAGACAGACACACAGATAGACAGACACACAGCTAGACAGACACACAGCTAGACAGACACACAGCTAGACAGACACACAGCTAGACAGACACACAGCTAGACAGACACACAGCTAGATGGACACACAGCTAGACGGACACACAGCTAGAAAGACAGACAGACACACAGCTAGACGGACACACAGCTAGACGGACACACAGCTAGACAGACACACAGCTAGACAGACACACAGCTAGACAGACACACAGCTAGACGGACACACAGCTAGACAGACAGACAGACAGCTAGACAGACAGACAGCTAGACAGACACACAGCTAGACAGACAGACAGCTAGACAGACAGACAGCTAGACAGACACACAGCTAGACAGACACACAGCTAGACAGACACACAGCTAGACAGACACACAGCTAGACAGCTACACAGCTAGACAGACACACAGCTAGACAGACACACAGCTAGACAGACACACAGCTAGACAGACACACAGACAGACACACAGCTAGACAGACACACAGCTAGACAGACACACAGCTAGACAGACACACAGCTAGACAGACACACAGCTAGACAGACACACAGCTAGACAGACACACAGCTAGACAGACACACAGACAGACAGACACACAGACAGACAGACACACAGCTAGACAGACACACAGCTAGACAGACACACAGCTAGACAGACACACAGCTAGACAGACACACAGCTAGACAGACACACAGCTAGACAGACACACAGCTAGACAGACACACAGCTAGACAGACACACAGCTAGACAGACACACAGCTAGACAGACACACAGCTAGACAGACACACAGCTAGACAGACACACAGACAGACACACAGACAGACACACAGCTAGACAGACAGCTAGACAGACACACAGACAGACACACAGCTAGACAGACACACAGCTAGACAGACACACAGCTAGACAGACACACAGCTAGACAGCTACACACAGCTAGACAGACACACAGCTAGACAGCTACACAGCTAGACAGACACACAGCTAGACAGACACACAGCTAGACAGACACACAGACAGACACACAGCTAGACAGACACACAGCTAGACAGACAGACAGCTAGACAGACACACAGCTAGACAGACACACAGCTAGACAGACACACAGCTAGACAGACACACAGCTAGACAGACACAGCTAGACAGACACACAGCTAGACAGACACACAGACAGACACACAGCTAGACAGACACACAGCTAGACAGCTACACAGCTAGACAGACACACAGACAGACACACAGCTAGACAGACACACAGCTAGACAGACACACAGCTAGACAGACAGACAGACACTGACCTCTAGCCCCCAGATACAGCTGCTGTGGTAGAGGAAGGACCAAGACTTGCCCACTTTCCTCACGTCGTGAACGTCCCATATATACAGACTGTGATCGTTGTATACACACGTCACCTAATAACAAAGATAGAAAAAGCATTAAGACATTTCAAAGCAAAACACTCTTTTTTATGACCATTTTATTCAAAATAAATACAAAGGTTGAATTAAATTATATGAATTTTAATATCTTTTATGACAAAAATACAAACACATTCTTGGAGCTACTGATAAATATATATATACCCATATGGAAATATTTAAATAGCCAAACCTTTTTATGAGCATCATCGTAACTGACTGCAATAGTGTCTGGAAACTTGGCATCCTCCGTCTGCGAAATCAGCTGACTACAAATAAACAAATCAAAATCAAAAAATAATTACTCATGATAATTATGAATTTGTGGACACAATGAGAATATTATACTACTATTACAATCCTATATATAACTTAATCATTTTCTTATTCCACAAAATAAAATACTATATATGTCCTTTCTTTTTGAAAACTTTATTTTTTACAAATTTTTAAGGATAAAAAAAAAAAATAATGAAAACCACTCAGAAGAAATTAAGAGAATTTCGTCCCCCCAAAATAGATTGAAAATCCTTAATATAAAACCTTCTTCCATATCATAGCTTCACAACAGAAATCTGACCTGGGACTGAGAGCTGAAGCTACATCTACGCCCAACTGGTGGGGCCGGGGCATGGTCCCCACGTAATTCAGATTGACGGCGTCAAATATCCTGACCACACCGTTAGCACAGCCAATAAATATATGGTCCTCTCCAGCCGAAACACAGGTGGCGTTAGTGGTCTGTTTATAAAAGGGAAATAACTCTAGATTGTACAAAAACTCAAAAGGCATCGCCAGTTCAAAAAATGTGCAGAATGGTACATTTCAAAATTCCCTACATGGTACTATTTAGCAACCTGTGACACTGAAAAATTCATACCCCATCCCCACCCAACCACCCCAAAAATCTAATAGGAGTAACTTAAACCTTTGTTATGATGCCACAAAATCTAACTTTTTTCCTTTTTTAGTGTAAATTGTGTAACTAATGTAAAGTACATGTATGTTTACCGATTTTTCTTTCTCGCTCATTAAAATGTTTTCAAGAGAATGTAAAGTCTTAAATTAAATCATTTATTCAAGTCATAGAATCCCACTGAAATGGACATTACAATATCTTGACTTTTGAACATAGGACAACAAAACATGTGTCTTTTCCATTTTATTTTTACTTGCATATTAAAAATTTAAAAGATAATTTATTCAAGCTATAGATTGATCCATGTGAAGAGACAGATGGAGGCCTCAGTGTTTTCTACAGATTTTCCTTGTTTTTGTGCAGCAGGAGCCCCAATTCTAAAACTGCTCAAATCAAAAACATCATCACCCAAATCCAAACCATCCTATGGACATGAATAAAACACCAAACCACTACAGACATTAGTACCGAGTGAAGACAACACTGTACTCACATGCATGTTACTATCAGCAATTCTCTTCAGAAAATACAATGTGTTTGTAAAGTATACAACTTCAACAATATCACAAAAAAATATTCGGATCAATATTATAAATATGATGCAAAATATTCTCATAAAATTCTGTACGTCTAGATAATTTATTGAATATACAGTAAAAACTGTCTTAACCAAAACCTGTGCAATCCAACACACTGGAAATTGTGACGTTTAATTTCTTTCATACTTTACTAATGTCCATGTTACTGTATACTGGGTTATTTTTCGCCCCATTTTTCATGCTTGGAAACAATTTTGCCTCATTTTAAATTCCTCCATGGCACCTGATCCCACCTCTGATGTTTTGGAGGTCTGTGTTTGCTCTGCTCTTATTTTGTATATTTGTTTAATGGACGTTGAAATTGAATACTGTTCGTTATTTCCATATCCTTCCAGTTATAATTCTATGTAAGAAATCATGCTGAGTATTTTTAATTTTAATTTGCCCCATTTTAAATTTGCAAAAATAAAATGGGAGCCAAATTTACACTGTTAAATTGGACACCATGTCTATTCTGGCACGTAAATTGTTTCCCAGTGTCAGATTAAACAGATTTCACTGTATATAAATAATATATGAATAGTGATAAATTATCAAAACATATCAGTCCAAATAACATTTGTATTACATAATTTAAGGCCAAGTGAGACATAAAAACATAATCTGTCTGAATTTTTGCTTGTAATTATCTACATAACATAAGTTACTGCCTGTACTAACTTATGCCATTATTACTTCTTCACAATCAGAGAATTATTCCTCTATTATCTTTACACTCTGTGACCTCCAATGACATTTATCCCCCCTTTCCCTCCCTCACCCAGCATGGGCTCCTTATATAACTTCCCCGTGCTGACCCTCACATAACTTACCCGTAGCTCCACCCACTTGTCCAGCTGTCGTTTGTCGTTAAACTGACACAGTAGGCCGGTCTGGGTTATGGCGTACACCGCTTGTCCACAGGCTACGTCACAGAAATAATTGTTTTTGTGGTCTCCAAGGATACCGTTCCTCCCCTGCAGTGGCACTGTCTCGTTTATCTACAGAGAAATGAATACTATCACATGACATTCATCTTCCTGCAGATTTTCTGTAAATTACTATCTTTTTGTTTTTTCTTTGTACATTTCATTTTTCATGTTTGAGAAATGAGAATTTGTTCTGTTCATCTCATTTATTTACTCTTTAATCTCAATATAATTTCTATTGAAGCAAATATACTCTTCCAAAAATATAATATATTCTGCTATATTCCGGGTGTTTTCTTTTTTTTTTTTTTATTTCTTTTATTTTTAGATTTTCCAGTTATACTGTCCATAAACTAATATCACAGTCTGATAAAAATAGAAGTCTTCTAATACAAACAACTTTTAACAATTTTTTTATACAGCTCAATATTAATTTTATTTACCCTGGATTTACTGCTCTCTAAATACCAAAACTTGACATGGCGATTACCAACAGTCACAAACATGGAGCCATCTTTAGAGAAAGCAATGGAATTCACCTATAAAATAATAAATATAGCACATCACACATACTATCTCATGATCATATAAAAACAGACCATAAAGAATATCAAGAACTCAAAATTGGAATGCACCCTTGTATCAAAACAAAATTTTATCCTTTTTTTTTTTTTACTAAGATGAGAGTTAGCAAACTGGACACTTAATTAGCTTGTGAAACTGACATCAAGAATGATTCCCTTGTAGTTGCTTTCATTGGGTAATTTATTTGAATACTGATTGGCTAAAATGATCACATGACCTACCTTACTGCTGATTTTATTGGATGCCACTTTCGTGCCTGTTTTCCAGTTCCAGACATTGACCATCATGTCATGTTGTGACCCGATGGACACCAGGTATTTCAAGGAAGGGGAGAATTTCTACAACAGAAATCTTCACACTTCTAAAAAGTGTAAATTACCAATCAGAGCTGTTAAGATTATTATGATTTCTTCTCCCCAATTGGGGCCTCTGTATCAAATGAGATGATAAGGTTACCGCGTGGTTCATAGATAAGTTAGCGTGGTACAGAGCCAGACGTAAAAATTTGTGACAAGGATTTAAGTTTGTGTTATTTTGTTTTTTCCGTGGAATAGTGATATAATTAATTTTGTCATCTACAATTAAAAGGTGTGTCATCTCATGACATTATAGCGTATTGAACGCTGATTTTTGCGTATTGAACGCTGATATTGCGTATTAAACGCAGCAAGTTTTATGCGTATTGAACGCAACTAACAACAATGAGTACGAATTCAGAAAGCATATCCTCGCCTATCCTGAATACGGAAGAAAAAGAGGGAGGGAATGTACAAATGGACAATTCCTCGATGCTGTCAATGCTGAGGGATATGCAGAATAGCATTGCCTCATTAACGTCGTCTGTGTCGTCCCTCCAGCAAAGGGGGAAAAAGCGGAAAGCTGATCCGGGCAGTAGCCAGCCTGGACCGTCCAAGGCTAAAGATTTAAGTGACATATCTTCTGATGAAGAAGAAGTTGATAAAGATGGCTTTTCAGACCTAATACCAATCAGAGCTGTTAAGATTATTATGATTATCAGGGACGAATATACTAACGGGATAGGAAACTACCGCAAGTCTCGCGACATCTCGCAAGTCGCAGGAATTCGTAGGCCAATTTTAATTAATCATATCTCTAAAGCTATCGCATATTTGAAATAAAATCTTTAAATTATCTGTCAAAAAATCATTCAAGATTTGTTTTTTGAACGTATTATACTCCTTATCTTCGTAATAATTTTGTTTTATTCAAAATTAGCACATGCCCCAATCGGCCATATTTCCGAGAAATCGCCGATTTCGGTGATTGTTTTCTTTATATTTTAATTATATTATTATCATGCTTACAAATTTTTCAAAAAATCAATTCTTCTATATAAAAGGAATAAATTATATTAATCAGAAAATACCCTATTTACTGGGAATAAACGGAGTTTGAAAAACTTGTAGTGTTGTGCGTGATGTTTTGGGTAAATAAACATGGCGATAAAGGAGTTGCCTATCCCGTTAGTATATAGGTCCCTGTGATTATAAATGATAAAATGCTACAGGAGTCACTCAGCTAGTTGTTTGCATTCCTTTCTGTTTATGTGTAGGCTAGTGTGAAGTCAGATTTAACTTAAGGTGCAAAGTGTTGGTAGACAAGGAGCTTCCTCTCAATATACAGGTATTGGCAATGTAGGAAAGCTGATGACTGTAATATAGTTTACGGTCATCAAAATATGTCGACTGAGCCGATCAATTGAAATTTTTCATTCATTTCAAGATATAAAACATTTGTTAGCTTATCTGTGTAATTTATGCTGAATATTGAATACATGTACGCTAATGAAAACTTGCTGTTGAATTTTAAAACTTGAAATTAATAAAATAAAATAAATTACGGTAATAAAGTTGTAGTGTGTCATCAAAGTTTTTTGAGAATGATGACCATAACAAAATATTATGACCACGTAATCTCAGTTTTTCCCAATGAAGTGGGAAGACCTTATAATAACAAATTTTATATTTTCTTCCCTGTTGTAGAAGCCCTAGAAGGAGATATATGACAGCGTAATCACGGTTTTTCCCAATGAAGTTGGATGACCTTATAATAACAAATTTCATATTTTCTTTCCTGTTGTAGAAGCCCTAGAAGGAGATATATGAAGTTATTTTATCAAAGATGTAAACATAATTTTCAAACATAATATTTTTTAACCATTTGCCTACAGAAAAATTCAGCATTCAAATGATGACACTGGAAAATTCTTATATAAATCGATTCACTTCCCTGTATATATTGAGTATATCTTAACAAAAAAATATATATATATTAAGTATAAATCGAAATTCCAAAAGACACATTTGCAATTCTTGGATTTTTAAATTGTCGTCTGTGTCTCAATGAGAGCTGGTCAAAAAAGATTTCTCCCTGCTCAATGGTGATCCTGAGTGCCAAGGACAAAATTCATAGCTCTCCACCAGCAACAGGTGGCGTCTCCATATAAGTGAAAAATTCTCGCGAGGCACGATAAACATTTACAAATTCATTTTTGAAATTCATCAATGTTTTCTGATTGTAAGTTCTTAACTTCAAACATAAACATCAAAATAACGATTTGTACACATCATAGTCACAGATGCTTGACAATTTTAACTTTTTTTTTTCATCATTAAAAGTATTATAGTATAGGGGATATGTACATACGCGGGAGGGTACATATAGTAATTGGTATGTCTGTATGTCTGTCACACTTTGGGGGAACCATCTCTTACCTGCAACTCCTCTTATACCACTGAATGAAATTGGATGAAACTTCACAGAATCTTTATTACACATGCTATTCATTGCTGACCTCCTATATATTATTACAGTCGCACCTGCTGTTACGGCCACCTTTAATCAGCGGCCACTCCCCATGAGCGGCCAGTTTCAATCCCGCCCGTTCATTTTTTCACTATATTTTAACTCATTTAAGCGGCCACCTGTCTAACGCGGCCAGTGGCCAGTGTTCTTGGGTCCCGTTTGCTCAACATGCCTGTTTTCAGCGGCCATTTTGTCTGTTTTGTCACATGACTTCCGTCTGTCATGTGACCTCGCATCCTCATACGAAGCCAAACATGAACAGCTGATAATGAGTTAATGACCAATAATTGCAGGTGTAATTTGAATTCTGTCAGGATTTAATTAATATGATTAAATGATTTATTGTTAAAAGATCTTTATTGATGTTCTTAATATACAAATTAAGTTGTTGAATATTTTCATGACATAAACCCAATAGACTACATTAATTACAATTCAATTTCGCCTGAGGTTATCAAGTCAAACGGTCAGTCTCACGTTTTAATCTTTTATATTAAATAAATAAATATATATCTAGAAAAACTAAAAAAAAATTTACACAGTATCAGGGAAATGCTAAGTTATTAGAACATTTTATGATTTCCTGTAAAAATTAAATTACCAACGCACACACAAAAAAATCAATAACAAATTTCTTTCAGAAATTCATGTTAAATTAAATGTAAAAGGGATCTCATTTGATTAAAAATTTATTAACTTTTTAAATGTTTTGAAATTGGATTTGGATACGTGTGAAAAGAAATACACAACTGTGGTCACAATTGTTTGTTCACTGGATTGAAACCTGGAATAAGTGGCCACCTGTCTTATGTGGCCAATTTGTCATTCTCCCACGAGTGGCCTCTTAAAACAGGTTTGACTGTACATGTATTTGATCAAACACATACATTTTGGGTTTCCCTGTTGCAGCAAAACATGCCCATTATAACCATATCAAAGGTGGGAGGTATTGTTTAATGAGCTTATTGCTCACAGTACCTCTAGCTTTAGTTAAGAAAAGAAAGGTTAAAAACATCAAGTGTCTGTGATCATAGTCAAACATCTTAGCGATCAGGAACCCATCAGGAACCATTCTGAGTCTTTTTATACCACAAAGAAATCATACAATCATGCAACTTGAATTTCGATCGTTAAATACAATTAATGAAATATACTGTAAATCTCTTTTTATTCGCGAGAACTTTATTTTGGCGTAATTACGCGAGACAGTGTTCTCGCGAAAATTTTATTCTCGCGTATAATATTTTTCCTTATGATTATATAGAGCAAAAACCACAAGTCGCGAAAGTTTTGTCTTGCTAATCAAGAGTCAATGACTCTCTCGCGAAAATAAGGTGTCGCGAAAAATTAGTGATCTACAGTAGTATAATATTAATTATTTACATGCATGCATACAATCACCAAGCAGAATTCTTTGACTTTACACCCCCCCCCTTAATTAAAACAAGAGATGATTGTAAAATACTTAAGCCCACCTCTCCCCAAATTGGATTTTTTCTCAGTCAAAAAGGGCATAACTCTGTCTAAAATGGTACGACCGTACCCAAAATAAAAGTTGACCTAACTGATATTCAGCTGAAAAATCCGCATATTAAATTTCATTTCAATATGTGCAACCTCTGCAAAGAAAATGAACAGAAACTGCAAATAAGTGGAATATTTCTAAGTCCAAGGGGCATAACTCTGTCAAAAATGGGCTATTGTACCCGTAACAGTAGTTGACCTAGATATTTACCTGATAAACCTGTATACCAAATTTCATTTCAGTAGGTGCAATGGTTGTGAACAAAATGAACAGAAACTAAATGGACCAACAGACAGCAGCAAAGCAATATGCCCTCCCTTCTTCAAAGGGGGGCATAAAAAAGAATTGCAAAACCAGTTTGTTTTCCAATGTATCAACTTGATCAATATGCTACTAGTTCAGTTTAATTTCTATTTTCTAATGGCTGCCTTATTTGAATGTAATAATATAAGTTAGGAGGGAAGGGGGTCCCTTTTTCAATGATCATTTTCAATGGAAAAGGTATGTTTTGAAAAAAAAGACTACTTATCAAAACTGAGAACTCTTAACTTATATCCTTTCATTCTGCTTAGAAAATATAGAATCTTCCTTTCTGAATAATCAAAATTCCATCAAGATGTTGAACTTCCTACTAACAAAAGATCATTCAAAATTATCTATTCGCTTCCTGCACTTATTCTGGCTTCCTGTTGTTTTCAATGAAATTTTCTGATACAGACTTAATACTTATAACACTTGAACTTTGGGCCTCCATGCAAAAATAATATACAGATGGACTCGGTTATTTGTAAATTGTGTAAAATGTGGTATGCCAATAAAGATAAGTTGAAGTTTGCGGTCAAATGTCATGGAATATTCTACTCGTGCTTAATGAATAAATTTAACCTTTTTAATAAATCAAATTATCGATTATATAATTGATTGTGTTCTTCCGATTCAATTTGATAATCGATAGTAAAATATGTCCGATTTTACAACACTAGTTATTTGGGAATGAAATTATAGGTCAGATCCAGCATCCGAAGCAAGTCTGTTAGTGTCCATCCCTAGATGCATAATCCGTGCAAGTTTGGTTCAGGCAGGGCTTATAGTTACTTGGGAATGAAATTATAGGTCAGATCCAGCATTCGAAGCAAGTCTGGTAGTGTCCATCCCTAGATGCATCATCCATGCAAGTTTGGTTCAGGTAGAGCTTATAGTTACTTGGGAATGAAAATATAGGTCAGATCCAGCATCCGAAGCAAGCCTGGTAGTGTCCATCCCTAGATGCATCATCCATGCAAGTTTGTTTCAGGTAGGGCTTTTAATTACTTGGGAATGAAAATGTAGGTCAGATTCAGCATCCGAGCAGTCTTCGCCAAATCTTTTTTTCAGCACATGCCCTTCGGGCAGGTGTGATCACCAATTACGCTAGCCCGAAGAAATATTTACATGCCCAAAATTTTATCAAGTTATATTATTCTTATTTGCCTTTTCATGCCAAGGAAATGATCCGAAGAAATCCATTCTGTCATTTTATTGTCTCGCCATTTGTTTTCAACCTGGACACTTTTCATGTCTCCTTTGCAGAAGAGTTCCTAGGAAATCGCGGTAAAATAAACTGTCAGTAAAATTTTAAGTTGTACTTCACTTTAGATGGAAAATCAAAGACTTTAAAGTACAATTAATGTTATTGTTCTTATTCAATTTGATTATATTGAGGCTTATGTCTGAGAATTAACATGCCCTTCGGGCTTGTACTTGTGCAATTTCCACATGCCTGCTTCCAATTTTACCAGTTCCCGAGCATCGGACTCCCGGGATTTGTCGAAGACTGTCCGAGGCAAGTCTGGTAGTGTCCATCCCTAGATGCATCATCCATGCAAGTTTGGTTCAGGTAGGGCTTATAGTTACTTGGGCATGAAAATATAGGTCAGATTCAGCATCTGAAGCAAGCCTGGTAGTGTTCATCCCTAGATGCATTGTCCATGAAAGTTTGGATTGGGTAGGGCTTATAGTTCCTTGGAAATGGACCTGCTCCAAAAACTTTAACCTGGTCACTTATCTCAGATCAGATCCAGCATCCGAAGCGAGTCTGGTAGTGTTCATCCCTTAATGCTGCATCCGTGCAAGTTTGTATCAACATGTGAAGCTTGATAACACCATCTTGAATGGTATGTTCAAATCTGAGCTAAACAATGATTTAAGAAAAGTGAGGTCAAGGTCAAAGGAAAGGTCAGCGTTAAAAAATGTTGATGCAGTTGCATAGCTCTCATCAATATATATCAGCATATGAAGTTTGATGAAAATATCTTGGATAGTTTCTTTGAAACTTAGCTTTGAACAGAGCTAAACACAAAGTGTGATGGAAGACAGAAGGACGGAAGGACAGAAGGACAGAAAGACGGAAGGATGGACGACGGACCTGACAAACACTATATGCCTCTGCCATATTCATGGCGGGGCATAAAAACGACTGTTCACTTTGCATGTATTATGTTTAAACACAAAATGAATATTTATTTCCAGACTGTTGGTGTTTTAACTATAGCTGCCATCAATTGATGAAGAAAGCTGTGAAATGATGGGGATATATTTTGAGGTTTTAGTTTGATATTGTTACATGTAGCATCATTGCAAACCACAGGTTTTGAGTCCGAAATTAGCTTCCTCAAACGATGATGATGATTTGAATCACCCAGGATTACGGACGACATATTGTTAGATGCTATAAAATAATTCATTTTATATACTTACAACACAGACAATTCCAAACTTGTGACCGTGGAATTCGGCCACCTGTGTTTTCTCGGCCACATCCCAGACCCGTACGGCCGGCTGGTGTCCACTCTGTAATAGACAAGAGAATCGATGAAACTACAAGTCAGGGCTTTACGGTTCTTCATGCAGGATTGGGGCCCATGGAAGATGGGTAACATTCAAGATATATATTCTTCCATGACATTAAGAAACATTGCAAGCCCAAAGAACATACAACTTTTTAAATTGATCAGCATTTATAATTAGTAAATTTCAGAATTTAGCTACAGCTTCCCATTAAAATGTCCTATCAATTTATAGAAATGTAGAAATATGAAATTTGTGAGGAAAACATGAAAAATCAGTGGTATATTAATTTCCAGCAACGGTAAAAAGAGTTTTTGATATTTCCTTTATCATTAGTGAACTATAGGTTTATTTTGTGTATTCAATTAATTTTTTTGCCATTTCTTTTTTAACAAGAGATGTTTGTAAAACCACAAATTGGTATTATTTTAAGTCCAAAGGAGCATAACTCTGTCAAAAATGGTGTGATCATACCCAAAACATAACTTAACCTAGATATTCATCTGACTAATTTGTATACTTAATTCCATTTCAATATGTGCAACCTCTCAAAAGAAAATGAATGGAAACTGCAAATTATTGGAATTTTCTAAGTCCAAGGAGCATAACTTTGTCAATAAAATATGGTGTAATCATACCCAAAACAGAACTTGACCTAGATATCAATCTGACTAATATGTATACTAAATTCCATTTCAATGTGAGCAACCTCTCCAAAGAAAATAAAGGAAACTGCAAAAATATGGAATTTTTCTAAGTCCAAGGGGCATAACTCTGCAATTATGATGTGATCATACCCAAAACAGATCTTGACCTAGATATCCATCTGACTAATCTGTATACTAAATTCCATTTCCATATGTGCAACCTCTCCTAAGAAAATGAATGGAAACTGCAAAAATATGGCATTTTTGTAAGTCCAAGGGGCATAACTCTGTCAATTAAGGTGTGATTGTACCCAAAACAGAACTTGGCCTAGATATTCATCTGACTAATCTGTAAACTAAATTTCATTTCAGTATGTGCAATGGTTATGAAGAAAATGAATGGAAACTAAATGGACCGACAGACCAACAGACAGCATAAAAGCAATATGCCCTCCCTTCTTCGAAAGGGGGCATAATAAGATATAGTCTTATTAAAACTACAATATCTACGCTTTGTTCAATAAAACAACAATGGACTTTGATATTATTTTTGTGCTTATAACATGTATAAGTACATCATGTACATGTACTGAAATTTTTATATCATTACACTCTTAAATCATTCAATTTAAAATCAGGAAAATGGGATAAACTCCTCTTTCAAACTTGCCAAGATATCATTGGTCCAAAAGTTCTAAAAGCTTGCTCATTGCTAAGTTTCAATTTTTTTTCTTTCTATTAATTAAAGTATTGCAAGCTTTGTGCTTGAGTAAAAAAAATAATAATTCTTCCTGAACACTGATATTTTTAAAATATAACCTAGATTTTATTCCAGGAAGTATAAAGCACTTGACAAACTTAAACTGGCTACAGTCATCTAACCTCAGTAAAGAGAAAGAGGTCTTGTAATGGGCGGACGCCATTATTGTCTCCTAAAAATCAGGTAGGTTTATTCCTTAAGAATATATATTTCTAATTTTTAAAAAGACCTTAAATCGGATTTTTAAATATATTCTTTCATCATTGGAATGAGATGTCACTGTTTTTGTAAAGATTTCTTCATTAAGAATTCCTTTCTCAGTGGCCTTTCCTGTTTACATTACACTTAATAAATAGACTGGTAAACTGTACATAAGTATGCATATAATTAGTGATTTTAACTTTTTGAATAATTTTACAATTTTCACAGCCATCTTTTGGCCTTCAAAATTAAGACAATTTACTAGTCATAGCTCAACACGAGAAAATCTTGGGAAAAGCTGTTTCACCCATTCTGATTCAGTTTTTAAATTCTTTTGCTTAATTTGTTAAAAAACAATTAACTGAACGATTTAATTGATTATAGCAAACAGCCTTAATATACATAATCATGATAATGATATTAAGCTTTTAATTTTTCTGAAACACATTTTTGTTTTATCTTCTATCTTATTTGTCAATAAATATTCACAAGGATTTTTGTTTATTCAAGAGACAAAACCATCTAACGATGGACCCCCGTTACTGTGCCCAGGATGTATTGCGATGTGACCTGTGTGAGACCGAAGTGGTACAGATGCACTGTGATACATGTCTTGTCAACCTGTGTACAGCTTGTGTAGGGAAACACATGGTATCTGATCAATCCAAAAAACATGAAGTTGTCCCATTTAAGCTTAGAAAATCCACTCCCCTTTACCCTGGATGTACAACTCATAGCAAAAAAAGATGTGAAATGTACTGTAAACAATGTGACATTCCTGTTTGCAACACTTGCATTGCATCTCATCAACATCTAGGTCATAAATTTATAACACTTTTGCAAATTCTGGATGAAAAAAAGAACAAAATATCCAAAGAACATACCGAACTGAAAGAGACAATTTACCCCACCTACCAGGACATTGCCTCTGATGTACAAAACAGAATGAGTCAGTTAGAAATGGAATATGGAGATCTCTCAACAACCATAACAAAATATGGAGAGGACTGGCACAGAGAAATTGACAAACTTGTCAAGAAACTTAAAGCTGAAGTTGATGAGATGAAAAACACACAGATACAAACTCTACAGAAACATCTGGATGAAATAAACAAGACAATGTCTGACATCAAGGATGAAATTGATGCAGTTGAAATTGCTATAAACTCTAATGACTTGTCTAAACTGTTTGGTGTTAAATTCAGTGTAGACAGGTACAAAACGCTTCCACAAAAAATTGTGCCATCTACACCTAAATTCATGCCAGGAAAAATTCAAGCAAAAGATTTTCAGGAAAAGTTTGGAGCTTTAACGTTTAGTTCTCTCACTTCAGATGAACAATCTTACAGTATGAAGTTTTCACAACCAGAACCAGAGACTGTCACCACCATAGACACTGGGTATGGATTCCTGTTCAATGTGGTCTGTCTGAGTGATGAAGAAATCTGGACAAGTGGATATGACAGCACCATGAAACTCTACAGCATCAATCAGGGATCACTACTAAAGTCAATCACAACCAAGTCAGGGAACGAACCAGAAGACATAGCAGTGACAAAAAGTGGAGATCTAGTTTATTCTGATTACAATGATAGAACTGTGAACATTGTGAAGAGTGAGAAGATAGAGGAGGTGATCAGACTACAGAACTGGAGACCTCGTGGTGTCTGTAGTACCTCCTCTGGTGACCTCCTGGTTATCATGTACAGTGATGAATACAATCAAACAAAAGTTGTCCGTTACTCTGGCTCCACAGAGAAACAAACCATTCAGTTTGATGATAAAGGTAAATCTCTCTATTCATCTGATAACAGATACATAACTGAGAACAGGAACCTGGATATCTGTGTGTCTGACAGTGGAGCTAAAGCAGTAGTGGTGGTCAATCAGGCCGGGAAACTGAGATTCAGGTACACTCGACATACTCCTGCTCCAAAGAACCAACCATTCTTTCCACTAGGAATCACCACAGACAGTCAGAGTCACATCCTTACAGCTGATTGTGACAATGACTGTGTCCACATCATAGACCAGGATGGACAGTTCCTCCATTACATAGACTGTGGACTGAGTAATCCCTGGGGACTGTGTACAGATACAAATGAAAATCTGTTTGTTGCTCTGAATAGAAACAAACAAGTGAAGAAAATCAAATATCTGAAGTGAATTCTGCTTATTTACTGTATACCATGTATAATGTACTATAAAATTTTAAGGATAATTTATCATGTTTACACAATTAAGTCAGTGCATTCACAAAATATTGGTCTTTTATCACTGTTTATATACCGTATAAGTGGAAATTTTAGCGAGATGCAAATTTAGCGATTTGTCCTAAAAAACTGGTAATTTATTTTCAGCGAGATGTTATTTTAGCGATTTTAAGATGCACATTAAAGAAACTATAACAAATAAAATGCAATTAATTTTTAGCGATATTCAGTTTTAGCAATTTGGGCGACCTCGCTAATAATGCCAAAATTAAATCCTCGCTAAAATTTCTACTTATACGGTATACGGGTAGTCTGTGATATTCCTTGTTTTGTCAAAGTTGAATATTAAATGATGAATGAATGAATGAATGAATATGTATTTAAGAAATAAAGTCCGCGTTTTCGTGAATGTTGCAGAATAACCTCCGAGGTCGAGAAATGTTGTTTGAAAGACGTTAGCCGAGGCTTTTATATTTCAAAAAACATTTCGAGACCGAGGAGGTTATTTTGCATCATTCACGACAACAAGGACATTATTTCTATTCTAGCAAGACCGATATATACGGCTGATCGTTTCCTCTATAGAGAAACGAATTAGGTCACCATGTCTTGTTTACGCTGTTTTATTTAACACCAGAGGTACAATTTGTTTGCTTACCTGTGTTAGGAATGCAGACGATCTGAATTTTCTCTACATTGAAAATAGCCTTTTTTAAATTACAAATTTGTTCGTTATATGTATTGATCAGTTAAAATGAATATACAATAACAAAATCATGTTCCTGTTTTACTGCTAAAATCACGTTGTTTAATGTGTAGGGAGGTCTGTGGAATAGCCCCACTTAGCTAAAAAAAACCGTCTTCATCAGCAACTTTATGAAATTTACAATGTTTATTTCTTATAAAGACGACATATCGATGCGGTCTAAACAAGTATTTCATTCTACAGCCAAACATGCATTTGAATTTTTTTAATTTGATACATGTTTCTGATCTGATAATTTTTTGATGACGTTCGTGATCTATTGGAGAATAATGTATTCCTTTCATGTTTTGAATCATCGTGGTAGAATTGATATTAATGTAACATGTTTGATATTTCAACACTCTTTACTAAATAAAATAAAATTATGCACAATATTTTTTATACTGATATTTGGAATTCTACAACTAACTAGATGCAAGCATCTCTGGGTTATTATTTATTTGTTGAGAATGATTTGTTAACACTAACAATCAAGTCATGGTTTTCTGTACAAAGAAAAATAAATTTTTAGCCAAAGAAAAATCATTTTATATCATGTATATTAGTGTATTCAAAGTTAATTACTGTAGAAGCACAAATTTTCCTAGGGATAAAATTTTGTTGATTTGTCAACAAAATACAGTTTTGGGGGAATTTATTTCATTGTTTTAAAAGTAACCCAATTCAATATACAGTTATATAAAATTTTGTGTGGGATTTAAGGGGGCCGACTATAGTTTCCATTGCGCAATATTTCGCGCATCATAGTAAAATGAAGTGTATTTACTGTTTTAATGCAACTTTTTTCGCTTAATTATGAAATTCTAACAAAATTAAGAAATTATTGGTATAAAATTATAATGACAATTTGATATACCTGATTTTTTAACCGATTTTGCATATGATAGGTAGGTTGACGTCGTTGAAGTGTGTTTTTGACGTTATGATATGATCTGTAGCTCTTAAAAAAGAGGCAATAAAAATATAATCAAAGAAAAAGTAATAAACATACGCTCTTGAAATTGAAAATATAAAAATTTGAGATTATCTCCAATATTTTTATTATGTTTTCATATGAATCCATTGTGTACGTCATATTTTGTAATACCCTATAAAAATAGTAAAATTTGCTAATTTTTTGCATTTTGAGATGTCCCCTCTGGTAACAAGACGGTAGAATTTTGTGTTTCTTACATATATTGTATAATATAGTATTAATCATCAAATATTATAATTTGAACAAAATGCCTATTGTAGTATTTGTATAATTTGCTTTAAAGTGCTAAAAATTGGCATTTTCCTATATAATCCTATTGTAAATGTACCTGTATTTTGAGACGGTCCCTCAAAAATACCTGGACGGTAGATTTCCCCCAAACTTTGCATGTACACTGAAGTTAATGTAAGTTATATATGGTATAAAAATAAAGAGTTTCGCTATTGTAGTTTTTACACAATAAAACTATAGTCGCCCCCTTAATTTCGTTGATAATTTTTAACAACGAAATTAAGCGAAATTTAATTCCCCACAAATAATTGTGCTTTTACAGTTATTTTAAAAGGAGGTATTCTACACCAAAATTTTATTTACTTGATCTTTAAAACACCTCTTTGTAATACATAAACCTGAATCTCTCAAAAAAAATCCAAAAAAAAAAAATTACCATAGTCAACTACTCAATCACAGCGCAAGTTGTTGATTTACTCTGCTTACCTCATATTAGCTGCAGGATCTGTAGCGTTGTGGTTTGTATATTTTTCTTTGACCCTAATGCTAAAGATACCGTAATGCAAAAAAAGGTGCAATTTACGGCACAATATTTTTGCGCACTTTTGGGGTGAATTTCTCCACTTTCCAGCATCTGTCAAATAACTTCCTTTCACATCCTAATTTTAGGCAGATTATTTAACAAGGCCTAATCTATATATTTTATCTATCTCCCAACCCTTTATAGTCATCTCAATAAGTGATAAACGCGCTTGATTAAAATCATGTTAGATTGCTGAAAATTCACTTCAAGCGAATTTATTGCCTGCAGAGACAACTATAAATGGTTTAGAGGTGCATAAAATATACATATTTGCTACAGAATGTGTCTAGAATTAGGAAGTGAAAGGTAGTTGATTGACCAATGCTAAAAAGTGGTGAAATTCTCCCCAAAAGTGCGCAAAAAATATTGCGATGTAAATTGCACCTTTTTTGCATTACAGAATCTGTAGCGTTATGGTCAAAGAAAAATATACAAACCATAACGCTACAGATCTGCAGCTAACCTCATATTAACACACTGTTAATCTTACAACCCAAGTACAATGTAAGGTTGATGTTACATTCACCTCCCCTGTATCTGTTCCCTGTTGGCTTTTACACTTACCTCCCCTGTAACAAGTTGTTTGCCATCAGGAGAAAAGGCCAGTGAGGTGATGGTCTTCTTTGAGGTATTGAAGATGTGGGACTGTTTATTACGTCGAGGGTTGAATAAAACCACCACACATCTGAAAAACAAAACACTTGTCAGTAATTATCTAACAAGTCATATGACCTAGTAAAGACTCTCGTAGAGGAAGTCCTCCATACTCCAAAGTGGAGCATAACAAGAGGGGGGGGGGATTGAATTTGTTTTTCCGGACACTTGTATATTAATATGACTACTGTATACTGGGAAATTTTCACCCCCATTTTTTTCCCCCTTTCACCCTTGTCACATGTTGGCAAATTTAAAATGAGGCAAGTTTGTAAGCAAGTGTAAAAAGGGCGAAAATAACATGGGGCGAAAATAACACAGGGCAAAAAAACCTGCATACAGTATTTATAGTAAATTAGTAATTGCTAATCTTCAAAAATTTTTATACAAGTATTCTCAATAAAACTGTTCCCTTATTATGGCCCCGTCTTATCCCCAGAGGTACGAAAAATTAATCTACCCTACCTAGGGATGCTTATCAGTATGACCAATCAAAGCCCTGCAATAACTTAAGGAATGTACAAGATTTTCATTCTATATTTTTTACATTTTAACATTGATCCTCTTCTGTGTGACTGCAGCCTTGTCCAGGGGACCATATGATACATGTAGTTAAATCAATTTTAATCTACACTATGTCAGGATGCTTTCAAGTAAGTTTAAATTTTTCTGATTTACGCGGTAAGTGTTTTTGAGGAGGAAATTTTTAATAAACTCTGGGAGTCGTATCTTATTGCTTTTTCTTGAATAGAGGCACTAGCTGTCCTTCATTTGAAAAAATTGGAATCCCCTTCCAGTGATTGGGAAGGCCAAAATGTTCAATGGGACTATGGCACAACAGTTAACATTTTTAATAGGCCATTTCAAAAATGAATGGGCCATCAATATAACATGAAGGGCCATTTTAAGAAATAACAAAGTGACAAACAAATATGAAATACGAGAGAAAACATGTTTTTAATTAACTGAATCCGACTTTTAACACATGAAATGCAGTAAATTTAAAGGAACTTTCTTAGAATATAACTGACCCGTATTTTGTGTTAAAGTTTCGACAGTTTTGGAAAGGGATCGCCCTACAATATAAATGAATGAAGTATTGTACCTCATGTAAGTGCTTCGTTTAACCGGAGGTACTTTTTGACAGGTTGAAACCAATAAGATTTGTTGTTTTTAAAACGAAAGTAAAACAAGAAAGAAAGTCGTACAGAAATAATTTCCAAATAACAACGCTAAAAATTGAATGCGCACCTTGGCGCCATGATTGGTTGATTTAATGCGCCATTTTTCACTTCAATGCGACTATGGCGCATGGCGCAAGCCCTTCCCAATTACTGCCCTTCACCCAAAGATAATTTGATGCAAGTTTGATTGAAATAGGTCCAATGTTCTTCAGAAAAAAAAGAAAAGTTTATAGACACACTTACATTATAGTTTTTAACTTTATATGCACACTTGCACCATGATAATCTGACTAAAATCAGACCATATAAATGCTTTGAAATTGCGATGGTCACTATACAAAGACCGTCAGAATTTCAGAGCATAACTAAGATGTGGTTTTTGATCAGATATGCATGATGACGAATAAAAATAAACAAAAAATGTTTGTAAAACACTTAATAGGCCCCCTCTTCAAATAATTTTAATTATTATTTATTTAATTATTCTAAGTTCAAGAGCCATATCTTGATCTGTCCAAAATGGTCCGATAAGTATCATTTAAATGAAAAAATGGACGCACAATATTTCTCCATTAGAAAATTATAGACTTGAATTTTGCCTTTTTTTTTTAAACCAGTGACCTTGAATTACACAGAACCTAATGGGTCAATTAAGGTAGAATTCACCAACAATTTTCGTAGCAAGTATGAGCTTCCAATGATCCTGCTTTACAAAGATATGAGATTTGATAAGAATTTTATATTATATTTTCTCAATAATCTTAAACTTGTAGGAATGAGCCTTGCTTTAAAGTCATGACCTTCTGGACATAAACAATTTCTGTACCAAGTATGAACTTCTAGGGCGTATTTGATTTAAACACGAGCTGCAACTCTCGAGTCGGATTTCTAAATCAAACACCTCGAACACGACGCGCGTGTTGTAGAATTAGGTCACGAACATACTCTCCAATTTTACAAGAGTGAACAAGAACAAAGATGGCTGACAACATCAACAAGGGAGGGAAAGTGATGTGAGGCAGATGTTTGGTTGAGATTTTAGAAATAAATCAACATTTTAATTAGTAATTAAGGATATTGTGTAATACACGTATTTCAGAACCGGAGGCATAAAAATATTAATTTACTTAAAGTTCTGCCACATTACATTTGTTATTCATAGTGTTCAGACCTGTCAACCAAAATTGATCCTGTGGGGGGTCATGACCCAACATTAAGAATTGAAATGTTGGGTCATAGCGCGCAGCGACATTTTTGTTGAGGTTTGAGTAACAAAATGCTCCCAATTTTTAGGCATCAATGCAAACAGTCAAACACATGCATGTATATGTTATATTTTATTGCAGACTTAATTTTTACTTAGGACAGGTTACTTAAACTTGCTTGTATAAGAACACTTTCAGATTGATAGTAAGATTCAGATACTTTTTGTTCAATAGAATTTTTGCAAAGTTTTAAAAATTTAAAAAGTTTCTGGGAAACATTTGTTAGATTCTACATTAATTTTCAACATATTACACAATCAGAAAATTGTAATTAGACATTACATTGAAAGATTAATATTGAAAAATTGCTGATGCATGGGGTGATTGTATATAAGAAATATGCGCCATCTAATTTCCTATTATTAATTTTAAAACACAGACAAAAAAAATTATATGAATCAAATACTACAAAATAAATTATGAAGGATACCTAACACCCTAAACAAAAACTTAAAATCATTAGAGTCATGATGTACGTGACTGACAAGTGGGTATTCCCTTGTCATAGCAATTTAACAAAGAAACACAATTAACGTACAACGTACAATACTACATTTTGGGAGGGGGGGGGGATTCAATATACTTCACTTTAGACTCTTTTGCTTTATCTTAATTACTATCATTTTCTTTTAACCACTACACTTAACAATTATTTCAATATACGAGAGCTGATAAAATCATGCAGCTGTTATCAGTTATGCTTTGTAGTTTTGTTTTTTTTTTACTTTCGTTTTAAAAAAAAACGATCCCAATGTTTATCATATCATTGTATTTAATTAATATCTGTTTTTAATAAAATGATATTTAATTAACCTCTAAATCTATGTGGTTCACCATGCATATACCCCTTCAAATGGTTATGTAATTAATCCCCTAAATGCTCCAGGCATATTACCTGTGTCATTCTGCGATCAAGCGTGAAGTGATTTCCTGTGGCTAATAATTAACAGTTTTTTTAACACCTCGGCAAACAAAGATACTAATCTGTGTGCATTGAATAAACAAAATATTCATGTCCTGATTTATAAAACACAAATCGGAAATTTTAGGATGAATTTTCAGATCTTTCTTGTTGAGACAAGTATGCTTAATTAATATTTGGTCAAAAAATTGGGATGATTGATTTTGCGGGTAAAAACAATGACACGCCGCGGGTCATTTTGAGTGGGGGGTGAGAGGTCAATTTTGCGGGTGTGACCCACCGAATGCGGGTCACTTGGCAGGTCTGAGTGTTTAGATAGAAGAAAATGAACAATAGATATTTGTCATTTCCTCCAATATCGTCCTTTTCCTCACTTTTCCATAAAAATCATAAATTTAAGGAAAAGCAAAACAATGTCTATTTTCAATGCACTCGAGTCGTGTTCTTGTCGTTTGATAATAACGATACTGTGTTTGTTTGTGCGCATGCTCAATATCAACCCGACTCGACACTAGAGTTGACAAATCAAATACGCCCTTAAAGATTCTCCATCACAGAGTTAATTATAGCCAAGGCAAAAATTTTATACCTTTTATTGGCAATTACCATGACATTGCTTAAATGACCATAATCTGTATCTACCGAAGTGTAACAAAATATAAACATAAAGGAATACAGTTTCAGATTTACCTTCCTTGATAAAACTCTTCAGTTTTTTTGTTGGTTTGTTTGTGGGGTGAACTACCATACCAAATTCGAACTTGATTGGGCACCCATAAAAAAGTTATTAGAAAAAAACAGAAAATTTGTGGACGGAAGAGTGACAGACGGACAGACAGACAGACAGACGGACGGACAGACAGAGTGATTACTATAGGGCACCCGCAAATCCTTGCGGGGCCCTAATGATATCCGAGCTGTTATCTACATAGACAAATAGACTCACAATACAGATGTGTACAATAGAGCATTCTGATCTTGTCAAAGCTGGGCAATACACAAGGTACCACACCACAGGTATATATATATTACTTGACCTACTTACCATGTACTTAACAGGTCAGTTATTGTCAATGGGTTTACTAATTAGACTGTGTGGGATACATACCCAGCTACACACCATTATAGTCAGAGGATTGTAATTGATGTGAGAAATGTCCTCAGTAAAATAATTTCATCTTGAATGCACTTTTGTGACCAGTGACCATATCACTACTGGTCACTGGCTGACTCAGCATATTTCCGTCATTCTGTTTTTTTTTTCATGTTTATATAGAAAATTTCTAATAAATGTAGTAAATTTTAATCCTCACCATGTCAACATTTAAACTTATCCTCCTCTGTCTGTCATAATCATGATATTAAACATACAAGAGGAAGATGAAACAACCTATAGGTAAACCTAGAAGCATGGTTTTTGAATTCTTCATGTGATGTAACAGCCATACAAGGGGATGGTCATTCAATTACTGTAAATCATTTTTATTCCACAGTGTTAAAATTTCACGATGTGTCAAAATGTACCATTTGCGATGGTTTTAATTTCATGCTGCAAGAATTTAATTCAAAATTTCCTATAAGCATTTAAGCGGTTTAAGAAAATAATATAAACATTCACGATGGGTTTAATTTTAGCAAAATTAAAACCATCGTGATTATTTGCCAATCTACAGTATTCAATGGAACTGAGAAATGTAAATTAAAAGTAGCAGCTAGCATTTATACTGTAGCTGTATACAGGTATAAAAATTTATGAAAGAGAATATAGCTGGTCTTGTGTTACGCTACATGTTCTACTCTCACTCTGCATGCTCATCTGTTCACTAAAATTCAGAACCTCAGTC